CACTGGGACACTTCCCCCGGGCCGCCCGCCGTGGAAGTCAGGCTCTCTGCAACAGCCCTCCTCCACCCCACCCCCGACTGGCCTAGACCTTGAAAGTGAAATAATTTTAGTTGACGATTACAGAACGTGAACGGCATTTTGAATAGTTAACAGTAAAGTCCATTGTCCTCCCCAATTTGTGAGCACCAATATCTGGCTAGTGTCCCAGCTGCTAATACCACTGTCCCGGGCCTCTATCGTTTTTGGGTTTTTTTTTAATCCTTCTTTATCAGCCTGCCAAAAAAACATTCTTAGAAAGCTTTGCTGCCTCAACATAACTTTAAGTCTCTCCATTGGAAAAAGCACCCCTTAAAACTCAGACTGATCTATCAATAGTAGCATAAACTGGGGCTCACGGGAAGGAAAGACCATATTGCTCTGCTTCCATCTGAAAAGACATGGCCTCCCCGGGAAAAGGAGCAGTCTATGGAAATCGTTTCTAGAGAAGTATCCAGAATTGAGTTCTAAGTTCCAGGAACTGGTGAGCGCCAGTTGGTTGATCACCATAGCACTCTCCAGTATTTCACACTCAAGAGTGTGACAGAGTGATCCTATTTTTTGAACCAAAATTCAAGACGCATGGACTGAAAGAGACAATATTAAAAATACCATGCTGGAAAGATCCAGGAGGTATGGTGGCTTTGGCGGTAATAATTATTGTAAAGTACATACATCTTGCTTTTGGCAGCCAAGGTATGAAAATTTTGAAAAGGAATTGTGAAGAAAAGCAACTTCTTAAACAAAATCCAGAGATTTCACAAGAAACTTTGGAAGGAAGGCCCAAGTAGGGAGGGGCTCTGTGCTGAGAATCCAACCTTGGGATTCCCCTGGAGGGGTGGGGGCAAGGAGATGAGCTGCTCTTCCTTGAAAATCCCTTCCTAGAATCAGAGGTAGGATCTTGACACTGCTGAGAAAGATGAGAATTTCAAAAGCTGCTCTACATATTAGGGGAAAACCATAAGGAACAGAGAACACACATGACTCATAAAAATAGCGATGCTTTCATGTACATATCCCTTACTTCTGTGTGTTCTATCATACTTCTTACCAGAGTGTTTTTGCCCAGCCTCAAATACTACCCTTTTCGTTCTAGACTTGCACTATCCAAAACGAGTACCACCAGCCACATGGGGCTGTTGAGCACTTGAAATGTAGCTAGTACAAATAGAGATTAAAATACACACTGAATTTTGAAGGGGCAGTACGAAAAAAAGGTAAAATATCTCAGTAATTTTTATATTGATTAGGTGTTGAAATGATAATATGTTGGGTGCATTGGGTTAGTATGTTATTAAAGTTAATTTCATTTGTTTCTTTTTGCTTTTTTAATGTGGCTACCAGAAAAGTTTAAATTACACGTGTGGCTGGGGTGCTTCTATTAGTGCTGCATGAGACCTCCATCCACTTCTATGTTCCTCTACAGAGGGGGGCCCAGGCCACGTGGGAGGGGGCACAGGAGGACACACAGCTTTGGGGTCTAGAGGTCTTGGCACAAGGAATCTGCAGGGTCTGTGGCAGGTGGAACTACCAAGTAGAGGCTGGGAAATACGAGTGTGCTGTTCAGAAGACAGGTCTGAGCTAGAGACAGAGTTTTGGAAATCCTTGCCCTATGAAAACAAGACAGACAATAGAGCAGACGGCTGAAGAGGGGGCCAGGAGACACCAGCATTTGAGGACTGTGTCTCTGAAGGGCATCTGCCAAGGGAGAGTGTGAGAGAATGGTCAGCCAAGCAGACAGAACTCGAAGGTAGAGAGAGGTGTATGGAGGCCCAGGGAGAAAGAGCTTCAGGAGCAGAAAATGGTCAGCAGTACCTGGAAGGGACCCTAGACGCTTTTCCTTTCCCTCAAACCCCACGTTTAACTAGTCAACAAGTTCTGGCTGTTCTCTCTGATTTATTCCTCAAAACCACCCTGTTTAAAGCTATCTGTCTGTGTATCTGTTTCCTCCCACTAGACCGTAAATAGAAACGATGTCACCCTTGCCACCCCAAGATCTAACAACATAGCCTGACATTCGGAAGATGTATGGGTCCACAATTGTAATGTGGACCTAAACTACTTTCTCCACAGGCAGGTGTGACGGTGATAATGTCAGCTAAGGAGCAGTCAGTAAACATACTGACAGATCTGAGGGCCAGCTTGCTGTTAGCCTGCATTCAAATCTTTCCTGGTTCTATCTAGGTGCCAGCCTCCAGAGAGCTGGGCTACCCTCCAAGTCAGAGGACCCCTGTGATAACACTCCTTAGTGCCCTCATCTCAACCAACCAACTCTTGAGCTCTGGGGTTTCGTTCCATTTCTCGCTTACGTGATGACCAGCACAGTCCCACTTTGCTGCACCAGAAACCACTACGAAGACAGACGTAAAGAGAACTGTAGGTCATTTTCGGCAAATGAAGATACATTCAAATGTTTCTCTAATTGCCACTGTTTAAAAGACATGGAAAAATGAGGAGGTACACAAGAGGGGCTACTGAAAACCAGGAACTTAACCCTCAAACCTACGGTTCCAAATAACCCAAGATTTGGAATGCTTGATTATGAATCGGCCCCAGGTTTCCACCCCAGAGATGCCAAGATGGCAGAAAGTCTGAAGCCAGGATGGAGCTTCCCAAGACCCTTTAACACCGTAGAGCCATTTCAAACATGTAGGCAGTAGCTTTCGCAACTCTCTCTAGTCCTGTGTCTCTTCTTTCCCTACCAAGAATTATCTAATTTTTTTACTCGAAAACATACATTAGTCTTATCTCCACATGTATTCCTCTTGTTATATAAGTGGTGTGCATGGACAGGACAGGAAAGACGTCTACCTTTGCCTGCTTAACTGTTTCTGCGGCGGACTCCTGATTGTTCTGGTGCCTCCAGCTTGCACCTGCTGTCACCTTTCTGCATAATCTGACCAGTGAGAGGTAGGACCTTGTCCTCCTCTCTTCTCACACTGCTCCCTCCCTGCTCTTCTCTTCTCCTTCCCCTATAAGCCACGTGGAGGCGGAAGGAAGCTAGAAGTTAGGGGCAGGGGAACAAGGGAAGAGAAGTCATGTGGCCTCTGTGTTCCACCTGGCTGAACTGACAGAGGAAATGCACAGGACTCTGGTGGCCTGGGAGAGGCCCGCCACGCAGAACGTTCTCTGGACAAGGCTGTGCCCCACCTGCTTCTGCCTCCCTGCCTCCCACATTCCATCCGTTACTCTTCAGTGCCACACCCCTCCCCCAAGGGGAGGACCATGTCTTTTCCACAGCATCTATGTGCCTCTGTACACAAGGGCACTTGAGGATTATAAGATTTGAGGAGGAAGCCTGGGAGCAGAAGGGTAGCCCCAGCCCATTTTTCTAA